TCTTTTTAACACTGTTTTCCTATTAAAACCTTTTAAATTGTGTCAAGCACTCTCACTCTACTCCTAAGTCACTAGATTCTGCCCCCTCCAGTGTGTGTACTGTCTTGGGATCCTCTTGAGAACCCTCTGAACTCTGGCACACTGAGGGTGGCCCTTCCACACCGCACTTACTCAATTTGGTTACAAAGTCTAGGTGTGAGCACTGCCCGAGATCCTTGAGATCCTTAGGGAACTCTAATGCACGTAGATAATGATATTGTCTATGAAATTGGCATTTGAGGCTATTGGAGGTCTTGGGAAATCATTCGGGCCTACTTCAGGCTCCCTATAGTGTAACTTCTTCTTTTCTTTTTATCTATTCATATAATTCATTCATCTGGTTTGCAATAATTTGTAAACGAATATTGGAGTAACTAGTGAAAAAGGGTGGGTAGTTACATATTTGTGGGGTAATATGGGTAGAAACCATGCCTATAGGATGTTATATTTGCTATGTTTGCCTTACCATGTTAGAAATCATGCCTACAGCTTTCAAGTGATTCCAATAATAGAAATCATGTTTATAGGTCCTAAAATCAACTTCACAAGTAGATAGCATGCCTATAGGGTATGATCCAATTCAATTTCTGTTATAACGAGTGTTTATATGAGTTTTCATTTGTTATCATGCCTACAAGTTTCTAACATCAGCCCTTAAACAATTAGATGTCATGCCTATAGGAAACAACATCAGAAACTATGCCTAGATCTAAAATCAGTTTAGTTTAAATAAGTCAATCCAGTTCTTGAGTAGTTTGCTTCGAAGTTGGTCTAAATTAACGGTTTGTTTTCCTGAAATGAATTCTCTCAAATACTGCTTTAATTCATAGAAAGCATGCCTATAGGGACTCAAGAGTCAGTTTTAAAATACTCTTATTGATAAATCTGCTTCTGCTTCTGGAGGAAACTTGGAGTGGGAATCGATGAATCCTTTTGAACATTCTCATGTCTTTTCTTAGTTATTCGTTGATTTTACCTTCAGGCGAATCAAATTTCCTCGAGTGACTTGTGAATATTAATTATTTAACCCTTGAACTGAGATTTTTCTTTGTTCCCAAGCAGCAGTGAAGGACACGAGACTTTATTCTTTAGGTAGAAGGTACATACAGTGATGGAGTTAATCTTTCACTCGAGGTATTTTCACGAGAAATTCAAGTGTGGGTGGAAGATAAGGAGAGAAAAAGGGAAAGAGGAGAGAAAAAAAGGAAAAGGGTGCAACTACATCCCTTGATTGAAGACATAAATAATGGATTGGGAGCCTTTTACGGTGGATTGTATATTTTGTACACAAAACTTGTTTATGAGGGGTAATTAACTAAACATAGACATTAAGGGTAATAAAATTTCAAATAGTGTATAGGAATGAAAAAATCCCAATTAAAATTACTTACTAGTTACTACTAGTAGTTTTATTTCTACGTAAAACTAAGGGCAAATGTACAGATAGTCATTCTCAGGGATGCTATTTAGAAACCAGCTAGTACTTATTTTATCCTGAAATTTAAATAATTTTTTTTAACTTCAAGACAATTCATAACATTTTTTCTTGAAAAACTGAAATTCAGGGCACTGGTTGGTTCTTAAATAACAGCCTCTCAAAGTTGCTACCTAGTGTCGTTTCTATTTTACTGTAAGAATATAACTAGAAAAGCCTAAAACATCCAAAATACTACTCCGTAAGTAAGGGCAGAAATTAAAAAATAGCCAGATTTACAAGTAGTCATTCAAAAATAGCCACAATTTCAAAAGTCATCGAAATTTAGCTAGTTTTCATGTAAAGATAAATCTGAATGAAAACACTGTTCAAAATCCAGAAAATACTCCAACATAATATATTGAAACTCCAATATAGTATACCGGTCCAGCATAATATGTTGGAAGTTTATACACAGGTGCACCGAACTCCAGCATATTATGCTGGATCGGTCTTTGTTGCAGTAAAATAATGGTTATTTTTCAATGACTTGGCAAGAGCCAATTATTTTTGAATGACCAATCCGAATACTGACTAGCCAAGTAATCCGTAAGGTAAGAAGTCGGTGAGTCCATTGGCTTTATTCGCAATTCTTTACTCGTTTTGAATCTCCTCTCTCTTGTTTTTGACGAACACTTGACAGTCTATGGTTGGAGTAGATTGCACACACCAACCTTTTTTCTACTTTTAACAGTTGGGGAAAGGGCCATGGATATTTTTAGTGAATTTTATGGTACAATTCATATTTAAAAGGCGTAATGTCTTACTGGCCACTTAAACTTTTAGGGATTTTGAAAGCCGATATACGAACTTTGGATTTTCCCATTTAAACACTCCAATTTGACAAAATGGATAATAATAAACACATTTGACCGTTGACCATGCCTATGTGGAAGCACTACAGCTGACATGGCTAAACTGTGTGCAAATCACGGTCCCAAGACGCGTGAATAGTATTGTTTTTACTTAAAAAAATTAGAATTAGAAAAAAATATAAATAAAAAAAATGAAAAAGAAAAAAAAGACTTTTTCCAAAATTTTCATCTTCCTAGGTGTCCACCATGGATTAAGTGATGCTATCACATGAGTAAGTGATGCTACGAACTTCACCAGACCATGCCGGAGCATGTAAGTTTAGAATCCTAGTGAAAGAGGTTGAGTAGAATTGGAGGGTGCATTGGCATTTGGTCGAACACTATTATATGAACAACGTGCAGAATGACCATTTTGGATATTCGAAAGATTTGGCCCATGTAAGGTCTAGTTTGAAGGTTTGGAAACATTCTCCTGAGGAGCAGGAGTAGTTTGGCATTGGTTTTGAGTCCTTTGGTTTGCCAGATCACCTTGCCCGACCAACTGGTGAAGTTTTGAGTTTTTAACTTGGTGATGATGGTTGATTTCTTGAATGGATTGAGCTGAATCTTTGCATAGAGGATCCATGGGTGTAGTAGAAAGGATTCCAATTGGAAATTGATCTCCAATTGGCCCAGAATTGATAGGGGCATTTCGTCAAACACCTTGCTCAACCGGATTGCCTGCGCTTTTGGATTGTAAAATTGGAGGAATTGGTTGGTACCCATATGAAATTGGAAGTGTAGGAGCATTCTTCTCATCAAGGCGAACATTTTGGTACCTTTCTTTTCCAATTTGGATACCTGGAACACCTTGCGGGTTCACTTTTGCCTCGCCGAAGATTCCCACGGTGGAATTGTCGAACTATGTTTCAGGCGTTTTTTTTCCTTTTTGTATTTGTAACTTTTTTTTCTTTCTGATTTTGTACTTAAAAATGGGACCCGCAAATAACACATGACAAGTAATAAATAGCTTAGCATGATGTGTTGTACATGTCAGCGTAACTAATATACACGCTCTGATGGATGTGTTTATTATTACCCATTTTGTCAAATTGGAGTGTTCAAATGGGAAAATTCAAAATTCGTGTATCAATTTTTCAAAAGCTCTACAAACTTAAGTGGCCATAAAGCCATTACACCTATTTAAAAAAACTGTAAAGAGACTATTCCACCATACCTAGAGTCTAGGGAGCGTCCACCACGTATTACAGGGCCTTTTGTACATCCCAAATATATTGTTTTCTTGAATATGAACAAGTGCAATTACTCGTCGAGAAATTTGGCAATACATAGCTATGGTAACTGGCCCATACTAAGCAGTGGTGCCATTTGATAGAGCCATAATCCATCAGTTTTGGCTTAAATTTTATATTTATATTAGAAACTTTATTTGATACGTATAAATAATCTATCTCGTACTTAATAAACAAAAAGAGTTCTAGTTCAGAATCTATAAATAAACTTAATTTTTTTATGGCGGTTGAGGAGAACACTACAATGTGGAATGCTTGAAAAAGATTTGGGCATTTGGCAATAGTAGTATTCTCTTTTTTTTGGGTGAAAATTATTTATATCTCTAAGTTTACTTTAAAAATCAAACTCGTCCTCAAACTTTAAACAAATATTATTTTCGCCCTTTCATCATGAAATATCTATTTTTCCCTTGATATTTTTAATTCCTCATATACGTAATACCTTTTCATATTATCTAGATATTTTCATGTAGGTATCTTATCCATAATTTAAATGGTATTATATTTTATTTAAATTAATTAACATTATAAATAGAATAATCATGTTATGAATATATTACATAATTTGTTTCTACTTTATTATTATTATTATTATTTTAATTTACGTGTTTACGAATTTAAGATGCATATAATATATTGGTGTGCATGTGTGTGATTTTAAGTTCTACTCCTTCTATTATTCTCCGTTGTGTATATAAGTTTTTGAGTTTTGATTGTTATTAGTGAAAATTTTCTAAACTCTAATTAAAATTCATGTAAAGTATAAATCGTTAACCATTACAAATTTGTTATAAAATTTACCGCTTTACTTTCCACCCATTATTTTTTTTTATTTCTTGTACTGTATAATTTATAAAAAACTCTCTGTTATTCTCAATTTTGTAAGAAGATTAAGTTTTGATTGCAATTAATAAAATTCTTGATACGAATAAATTATTTATCATACTATGTAAATAATATATTTATATATTCAAATATAATTAAATTTAAATGTTTCATTTTATATAATTTACTGCATGCACATGATCAATATTTATAATTTGCCAAAATTTGGGGCGGCGGGGAGCGCCGAAAATTTCTTTATTGTATAACTTCTTTTAAATTGGCGAAAACTTCGAAGAGAAATTGGAACACAAGAATATGGGCCCCCTATTGTTTGAAACTCTACTATAGACCACGTGACGAATGCGATGACCTCTAGGTAGGCCATTCAGAAAAATCTCGAAGATTACCGATTTCAAGGGTTTAATAAACTTAAAAACAAAATTAACTTTGTAAACACTCCAATGGACCACAGCACCACTCATATATAAAAAAGTCGAAAATAAAGGCATCCAAATTCTATAAATAGGACGTGTGTTACTAGCAATCAGTATTATCAATTCTGAAATTTCTTATTCTTCTTCTCACTTGCTTTTCATAAAAATGGCGAACGAAGAGGTGATTCTGTTGGATTTCTGGCCTAGTATGTTTGGCATGAGGCTGAGGATTGCATTAGCTGAAAAGGAAATAAAGTATGAGTACAAAGAAGAGGACTTGAGGAACAAAAGCCCTTTGCTTTTACAAATGAATCCTATCCACAAGAAAATCCCAGTGTTGATTCACAATGGAAAACCCATTTGTGAGTCTATTATTGCAGTTGAGTACATTGAAGAAGTTTGGAAAGACAAAGCCCCTAGTTTGCTCCCTTCTGATCCTTATGACAGAGCTCAAGCTAGGTTCTGGGCTGACTACATTGACAAGAAGGTATAATCTTTGCCTTTCCCTTTTTATTTTTCCATGCTACTTCTAGGATATTGTTAGCTGATTCCCACTAATATGGAGATGGATTGTCGATAAACGACCATGCGAACTTCTAGAGATGTATTTACTAAATTAATTTTAATTAATTGTTATCTTGACACATTGCAATATGTAAATAAGGGCAAATTTTGGAAAATAAAATTAATTCCTTCTTAATTAGGTAAGTAGACACTTATTGTGGACCAAAAAAAAAAGGTAAAATGGTCACTTATTATGAACCGAAGGAGTACTTTTTACACTGTCAGTGTAATAGTAGGTTTATTACCATGTTTATCAGGTTACCACTTAATGTCTATCCCAAGGGAGGAGCTAGGGTGGTGGAAGGGGCTTCACCAAAAAATTATACTATATATATAAATTCTTATTTTTATATATAAATAATAGTAGATGCTGAATCCCCTTGGCATATTGGTGCGTGTGTTTACTTTTTAATATTCCGAATCCTCTTGGTAAAAATTCTGGCTCCACCACTGGTCTATCCTAAAGATATTTGTAATACCTTGAACCTAATGACCTGGTTGTCTAAATCTTCTTGTACACTAACACTGCATAGAACTGAAAACTTGTTTGAAATTGAGGCATTGTTGTTTTGTGTTGTATTGTTACAGTTAGATGTTGATCATTTTTTTTCAATATACTTTTGGTCAATTCTCACCTATGAGTTATCTGTTAAGGTTGAATTAAATCTTAAGGTTCACGTTGTTAATGTGTTATCACAGTCAGACTCATTGTTATTTTTTATTCTGAATGTTGGCTCTCGTGTTACTTTATTCACTCTCCAAATGTTTAGTCCTAGGTGTGTGGGGGTGTGAGAGTTTCACATTGCTAGGATATGGAATGTTGTCTCGTCACATAGTCTTGGTCGATCTTCACCACATGACTAACTTTTGGGGTCGAGCAGAGTCCAAGATCCATTTTCCTAGTTGACTATGATTTTGTTCTTGATCTTTATGGCAACAACTGGTAACATCTTTTTGGGTTTGTTGAAATTTGCAGTTGTATGATTTTGGGAGGAAATTATGGGCAACAAAAGGAGAAGAGCAGGAGGCAGCTAAGAAAGATTTCATAGAATGCCTTAAGGTGTTGGAGGGAGCACTAGGAGACAGGCCTTACTTTGGAGGGGAAAGTTTTGGGTTTGTGGATATTGCTCTGATTGGATTCTACAGCTGGTTTTATGCCTATGAGACTTTTGGCAACTTCAGCGCAGAGGCTGAGTGCCCAAAATTTGTGGCTTGGGCCAAGAGGTGCATGCAGAGGGAGAGTGTTGCTAAGTCTTTACCTGACCAACCTAAAGTCCTTGAGTTTGTAAAAGTTCTTAGGCAGAAGTTTGGACTTGAGTAAACGTATGCATATTTAATTATGCACCATAATGTATTAAAAGAAGGCATTTCGTTGTGCCTTCTTGAGTTGAAGTTTCAGATATGAAGTTTGTTTGGTGGTAGTGTCAGTCAGTCTACTTTTATGAGTAATATAAATAAAAGACTCTTAGTTGTCATGTTGAGTGTTGACTTAGTAGTCCGTGTATGTAATTCTGGAGGTTGTCCACTTTGTAATCAGTTTTCCATTTGCATTATCTGTAATACCAAAAAATGATACATACATTTTGTTGATTCTTGTTACTTCTGTTTTTAATTGTTTCGAACAGCAGGGGCTAATCTCACCCTTTACTTGTTTCAATTCTACATCAATGTCGTATTAACATGTTGTGGAGTATTAGTTGATGCCAATTGCCAAATGCAGCAGGTTTTATTAGTTTCTATTTGCTATATGATGGTTGAGGCAATAGTAAATTACTACTGGTATAACGTATGAGGTAACGACCAGCAGATACTCAAGTTGTAATGACCTGTTCTAATAAATGAAGACGGGAGAAGAAAAGAGACATAAAAGAGTTTCTTAATAGCAAGCAAAACCTCCAAATATTACATTATTCATTGTATAAAATGCCAAGTAGTAAATACTATTTTACTACTTGCTACACAAAGCACACCAAATCAACACAAACACAACCTTTCGGGTTTCCTCTCTATTTCGAAAGAAAGGAAAAGGAAAAAGAATAATGGATGTCTAACAGCTCAAAACACTTATTCAGAATGTGCGTGATCTTATTAAATGCATACTTTTTAAAATTATTTATATATGAAAACATAGTAAGAACAAGAAACAACAAGTTTACTTGATCGCAAAACCCACTCTAGATCCTTCTTTTGTCTTTAGGCAATGCCCCACTTTTGTCTTGCCATCACAATAAAATCATAGACTTTGTCAGAGTCAGCAAGAGACTTTGAGACACTCTCCTTTTGCATACATTTTTTTGCCCATTCCACAATCTTAGGACACTCTGCTTCTATGCTAAAGTTGCCAAATTTCTCATAAGCAGGGAACCAGCTATAGTAAGGCATAAGGGCTATATCCACAAATCCAAAACTTTCTCCTCCTAAGTATGTCTTGTCTCCTAACTCCCCTTCCAATAACTTCAAGCACTCTATGAATTCTTTATTGGCTGCTTCTTGGTCCTCCACTTTTGATGTCCACATTTTCTTTCCACTCTCATAAATCTGCATCCTCCCAACAAGGAAAAAAGATTAAATATTTTTAATCAAATTTAGCTCATAAAAATATAACCCTCTAAAATTCCAATGTGCATATGTTTGGATGATATCGTTTGGGCGTATATATTCATTACCGGGTCACTTAAACATGAGCCAAGTTAGCACATCTAATAGCTTGGACCAACCAAATTGACTTATGAAAAGAAATTATTAAATCACACAAAAATATAAAATTTTTGGTTATGGTTAGTTAGATATAGCCATGATGAATAAAAAGGAGTTCCTTATACTAGTTTAATTTGATAATTGAACAACTAAAAAGGGAAAAAAAATAACAAATGAAAACTGATGTTGATCAATCAAATTGATATATCCATCTTGACCAATCAATTTTTTTATGCTATTACTTTGTATGTTTATTGATTCTCCCGATTTAGTCCAGCTCGTCCATTTGATCCAATAAATAATATTAAGATAGACCAAAACAGCAAAATTCTTAGTTCCGAACAACTTAGAATTTGCTTTATGAATCTTCACTGATCATGATTCTTTATTTGAGTTCATCTTAGATCAATATATTATGTGGAATAAAGAAAAACTTTTTTTTTTTTTTTTTTTTTTTTTTTTTTTTTTTTTTTTTTTTACATATGGGAGATTTGCTTTTACACATGAGAGATCTATCCTTTACAGGTAAGAGATAAAAAAGATATTTTCTTAAATTCAACATTGTAAAAAGCCATGAAGGCCTAAAACCCCAAAAGAACAAGGGCTGAAAGTTATGGATATTGCTNAAATTTTTGATATAGCTAAATGACTTAAAAAGCATAGGACCTAAAGAAACGTACTAACAAGACACAACAATTCCCAACTGTGTGATATTTTGCATACCTTTTTGTCAATATAATCAGCCCAAAACCTAGCTTGAGCTCTCATGTAAGGATCAGAAGGCATGAAAGGGGTTTTATTCTTCCAAACTTCATCTATATACTCAACAATAATTAGGGATTCACATATTGGTTTTCCATTGTGAATCAGGACTGGGATTTTCTTGTGAATTGGGTTCATTTGTAGGAGAAGAGGGGTTTTGTTCAACAAATCCTGCTCTTTGTATTCATACTGTATGTCTTTTTCAGCCAGTGCAATCCTAGCCCTCACCCCAAACATGCTCACATATGTATCCAAAAGGACAACTTCATCAGCCATTTCTTTTTGCTGAAAATTCAGGATTATTGTTTAACAGAACTGCAAGATAATGTGAACTATAATATGTGTTGTGTGTTGAATATTAGCCATGGTGATGATACCTCCATATATAGAAGTGGGGAAGAAGTTGCTCCAAAGTTGATGTGGAATGTGGACCATGTTAGAAAAGTCTCCGCATATGATCTATAGGAACCCTAATCTTGCTTTACCTTTGGATTCTAGTTCTAGTTAATTAGGTACAAGCAGTGGCGATTAAGGATTCTGAGCAAGGGGTTCAACCTCGTATACGCAGTGCAATTTTCCGGCGAAGGGGTTCGGATAAATCCCTTTCCGCCCCCCCTAGATCCGCCCCTGGTACAAGGTCATGCCACTTGATTCGTTTCTCAAAAGTTAACAATTTGATGTGCTTGAAAATTAAAGGCTTGCTATATAAATTATGAATAACTTGAGCTAACTTCATTTACCAACTAAACTCAATCTCTAATATGAAGTGTGACTACTTAAATTTATCTTTGACTTATGATACATATACAGTAACTGAAGCTTGCTTATTTGTATCAATAAAAGTAGTAGTTGAGTGGCAAGATTGAGACCCTGAACATTTAAAGCCATCTCGCTCATGTAGTTGTTCTCTCTTATCAAGAAAAGTAAGATGGGTAGTTGAAAACGGTGCTGCCAATATGATTATAGACTAGTTCTTCAATTAAATTGGTAACACACAAACTCTTTGATGCATATTCTCAACTGTTAGGATTTTATACGCAAGAGAACTTTCAAAAAACTATTTTGAGAAGCAGTCAAAACGGTACTTCTATTTGTCGTAGAAACTATCAGTCAAAATCAAGAAGAATTACGAAAATAGCGTATGGATGATGAATCCAACTTTTATTTCTATCCACACAGTCTGTGTGACACAGATGCACCACTAGTCAAATAGGCGGCTTAAGAAATACTAGATATATGAAAGAAAACAAATTAAGTTTACTGATGTTTAGCTTAAAACATATATATATTTCTATGTATATCGCCTCATGTTTTACTTTTGTTTCGTGAATTTGGGATGTTAAATGTGTTGATTTATGTTAATTTGATGTGTTTTTATGTGTAGGAATAATTCGGGAACAATTGAGGGCGAAATGCGCAAGATTTGAGCCAAAACGAACGAAATCGGGAAACGTACGAATTTGGGCGCCACAGCCTACCTGTGGCGCCAGAAACAGAATGTAAAATAATGGAGCGCTATGGAGGGCGCCTGGCGCCGGGCTGGGCGCCGGTGATGCGAATTGTGTCCTATTTTGCCCGGGACACGGTTTATTCGACCCTAAACCTATCCAACACGTATAAAAGCAAGACTAAGCCTAATTTTGGAGGGGGGACGCCACTTTTGAGGATATCTAACACACTTTGAAGGAGAATTCACATGGAGGAACACACACCACGCTTGGAGGAGGCTTCTAACTAGTTTTTCTTCTCTTTTCTTCTTTTAGTCTTATAGTTTATTAGTTCTAGAGTTTTGGGGTGCTACATGAACGTTGTAGTTTGAAGCTTGAATTGTTCTTATTATTTTATCATATTGGTTTATTTATTCAATCTTGCGCTTAATTATTTGATTGCTTGATCACCAATTGAATACTATCTACGAATCTAGGATTGAACTCGGGAGAGGGAATTCTAGATTGCATATAAGATTGAGTAGAGCAAGATCTTAACTCTGAGGGGGAGCGGATTTGCGGTTAAGACATGAATATACTTAATCGCCTTGCTTGGTTACTATACATGAATTATTAATGCGTTCTTGTTAATCCTAACTCCATAGGAATATAGGCGTTATGTTAGCTTGAACAAGCGAGTTGTGCTTCGGGAGAAGGCTACGAGCAATATTAACCCCGTCAATCAATAAACCAGATAAATTAATGAGACGATTTAAGTGGAAAACTCAACGGGATTGTTAGCCAACCCATAACTCTAGAATATCGTCTCTCATTGAATTCGTGTCTAATTTCGCCAACTTATTTTCTTTAATCTCTTAATTTGTTACTTTAGATTAATTTTAATTAAATATTCATACTTTAGAATTTGCTTGAATAGATTAATTGTTTGAGTTCAATTTAGTTGATAGTTAATCACAAGTCCCTGTGGGTACAATATCTGGACTTACAATCCTATATTACTTGTCGACCACGTATACTTGCGTGTGCGTTTGGGAGCAACAAGTTTTTGGCGCCGTTGCCGGGGACTTAGAAATTAACTATTCTACTAGATTGGATTTTTACTTTTTGCCTATTCAAGTTTTTATTTTTTTTATTTTTAACTTAGTTATATTTTATTATCTTTGTTGACATGGCATCTTGGAATGATAATTGGTCGAATATTGGTTATTCTTATTATGGTGATCCTTGTCCATATTGTGGAGGACTACACTTAGGGCAAAATTGTGTATCTCAATCTGATGTGTAGAATTTTTGTAATGTGTGTGGTTGCCAAGGTGACCATTGAGATGGTTGTCCTAATTCTTATTATCCTTCTCAGAGTTCTTATTATAATGTTTCTAATAATGTCTATGAGTTTGATAGGAACAATAAAGTGGAGGATATGGAAAGCATGGCTCGTATTATGGACATGATGAGGCAATTAGCCGAGCAACATGACATGATGATGAGGCAAGTAGCCGAGCAACATGACATGATGATGAGGCAAATAGTCGAGCAACAAAGTCTTGATGCCTTAACGATCAAAAGACTCCAGGATAGAATGGATGAATTAATGGCCAATTTCCAAGAAGAACCTCAATTCGATGAAGAGAGCGAGTTCCCACAAGAAGATTATTTTGAAGAAGCAGATATAGTGAGCCAATCTTGGTTTGAGGAACAAGCTCAACTGATAAAATCTCATGAGTTTCTCTGTTATAGTCTTTCAAATATGACAGAACAACTGATAGAAGGAAGAACTGAGCTCAGGCAAGAAATAGACCAATTTGGCTTAGATATCCATGACATTCATGATCAATTGAATAAAAAGGTTGAGGCGTCTGATGCCCTACAACCAATTTTTGTGAATACTGGCCAGCTTGAGGAGCGGAAAGAGGAACTCCAATTATTCGACCAAAATATTATTAATGATGCCAAGGTTGACGAAGAGTGCAAAATTGAGGATGTCAAACATAATGCAATTTTGGAGTTGGAGCGTATTGGACCTCATTCTAAACACTTTTTAACATTATGTTTGGTTGGTGACATGGGAATTGATCCATTCGAGCATATGGAGGAGCCAATAGATGAGGAACAAAGTGTTTATATTCTGAAATTTGCTATGCCAAGGAAACAAAACGATATCCCTCACTTAAAAGCCAAGAAGTGCAAGATGCGCTATTATTTATTTGGTTCTTTTGTATTCGCACCACCACCCCAGGAACGTGATACAAAAGTTAATGCAAAATTGAGGACGCAATTCATATCTTCAAAGTGGAAGGAAAAGTGGTGAAAGTGATGGTGTCGTGCCGCGACGTTAAATCAAGCACTTATTGGGAGGCAACCCAACATGTATTTTTATTTTTTATTCTTTATATAGTGTCAAGTTTCGTATTGTTTTTGTTTTGCAGAGTAGGGAAAGTCTGAGTACCCGAAGTTGAAGCTAAGGAGCATGTTTGAGCTTAAGTGTGGGGTCGTCCCAACCCTTAATATTGAGGATCATGTCCAAGCTAGGCCCGAGAAGGCCTCAGGGAGTATTTCTCACCCTTGTTTTAAATTTTTTTTCTATGATCATGCATCGAGGACTATGAATAATATAAGTGTGAGGTGGGGAAACTACTTTCTGAAGTGTAATTGTATAAAACTATTTTTTATTTAGTTTTTGTTTTAGAACTCGTAGTAGACATAGTCTAGGTAAAAAAAAAACGAAAATTGAAAAAAAATATTTAGAAAAGTTTAGACTTTCCCGACGATTGATCTTTTGGACAATTTTCTCGAGGGATAAAGTCCAATTAAAAACACCAAAAAGATTCTTTTTTAAAGATAGTTAGGTAGTATCCCTTAGTTTTTCTTAGGGCGCCGGTTCTTTTCCAAGGGTGTAGCTCGAACCGGGTACTTTATTATTTTTTTAGGAGTAGTTTAGGAAGAAACTGAGTCGCTCTAAGATACTCATTGACATGGTTGATGCTGGCACATTAGGCTATGACATACATTCTGTTTTCCCGTGTATTTGGTTTGAATTGTGAAGCCTAGGTAAAGTAAATAGTCTATTTTGTAAAGTCTTTTCTTAGTGCTTGACTTGTATACCACGTAGTGCAATGTTGCTTAAATTTCTCATTTAATTGTGCTTGCTTAACTTGAGAGTTGAACAGAACCGTCTTGATTGAGTCATGTGCAACGTGTGTGTGAGGATTTATGATTTTCTGTGCTGTCCTGTGTAGTCTAGAACTTGCCCCATGTGTTAATTGAAGCAAAATTGTAAGTTGTGCTAATCTAGGAGATGACGTAGGCATTTTCTTGCTTGATCATGGATGTGCTTGTCACATAAAAATAAAATTTTCCATTGCTAGCCCCTTTGTGCCTATAGACCTTTTCTTTGGCAACCACATTACAAGTCATAACCCTATTTTGTTCTGAATTTGATATTGATTGAACCTTTACCTTCTAAGGTACTTAGTCGCTAAAAGAAGTAAGGATTAGAGATTGGGGAGTAGCCTTTGAGTGCAACCATGGAAGGGCCCGTTGGTGCACTAAAGTTGAAATCAAAAGTCACTAGCCGATGAACTTTAATGTATGGAGTGTGTGAAAAAAAGAAAAAAAAGAAAAAAAATTTCAATAAAAGAAAAAAATGATAGTACAAATAATGGAGAAAACACATACACCTCTAATTCTTATTGATTTGTGCTAGTGGAATTATAGAAGTGCTTAATTGAAAAGAGGGCTATGATGTATATGGCAATTGAATTGGTTGAGAAGAATATGTGTTTGAATTGTGAATGTAGTGTATTAAAGTGCTTAGGAGGGTTAGTCACTATTTCTAAATGTACCATACCCGTCCCTTGGCTTACATTACAACCTTAAAAGTCCTAATTGATCCTAGATTTGACTAGCTTAAATTAGTAGAGACATACACTACGGGCAAGCTTATGGTACGACCATAGGATGCATATGAATTATTTGTGAGAGTGAGCGAATTTTGTTCAATTGTGCGATGTCCTTAATCTATATTCAAAAGTATATTTGAATGTGTGGACTATCTATATTCACTCTTTTATTTGTTGGTAAGAGCACATGATCTCATGAATGATTGGTGTTGTTGTAAACTTTCTTGTTGGGTAAGTGCATGAGTTGAGGGTGCTTAGTGGTTACAAGTCGGCTTTTGAGGTTGGGTGGTGACAAATAGGTTGTTGGAATTGATTGAATTGAAATGTTATACTTGGGCATGCTTAAACGAGAAGAATGTGAAATTTTGTGTGTTCATGCTTGTGTGCCGGTATAGATAATAGTCAAGTGTATAGTGTGTGGTTAAAAGTAGGGTGCTCCTCTATGATTGAACTTTGTACGTAGTTGGGGGTTTATTAGATAGTCCAATTGCTCGAGGACGAGCAAGAGTCTAAGTGTGGGATGTTGATGTTTAGCTTAAAGCATATATATTTCTATGTATATCTCCTCATATTTTACTTTTGTTTCGTGAATTTGGGATATTAAATGTGTTGATTTATGTTAATTTGATGTGTTTTTATGTGTAGGAATGATTTGGGAGCAATTGGAGGCGAAACACGCAAGATTTGATCCAAAACGAACGAAATCGGGAAATGTGCCTGTGGCGCCAGAAATAGAATGTAAAATAATGGAGCGCTATGGAGGGCGCCTGGAGCCGGGCTGGGCGCCGGTGACGCGAATTGTGTCCTATTTCGCCCGGGACACGGTTTATTCGACCCTAAACCTATCCAACACGTATAAAAGGAAGACTAAGCCTAATTTTGGAGGGGGGACGCCACTTTTGAGGATATCTAACACACTTTGAAGGAGAATTCACGTGGAGGAACACACACCGCGCTTGGAGGAGGCTTCTAACTAGTTTTTCTTCTCTTCTCTTCTTTTAATCTCATAGTTTATTAGTTCTAGAGTTTTGGGGTGCTACATGAACGTTGTAGTTTGAAGCTTGAATTGTTCTTATTATTTTATCATATTGGTCTATTTATTCAATCTTGCGCTTAATTATTTGATTGCTTGATCACCAATTAAATACTATCTACGAATCCAGATTGAACTCGGGAGAGGGAATTCTAGATTGCATATAAGATTGAGTAGAGCAAGATCTTTACTCTGAGGGGGAGCTGATTTGCGGTTAGGATAGGAATATACCTAATCCCCTTACTTGGTTACTATACCGGAATTATTAATGCGTTCTTGTTAATCCTAATTCCATAGGAATATAGGCGTTAGGTTAGCTTGAACAGGCGAGTTGTACTTCGGGAGAAGGCTACGAGCAATATTAACCCCGTCAATCAATAAACTAGATAAATTAATGAGATGATTTAAGTGGAAAACTCAACGGGATTGTTAGCCAATCCATAACTCTAGAATATCGTCTCTCATTGAATTCGTGTCTAATTTCGCCAACTTATTTTCTTTAATCCCTTAATTTGTTACTTTAAATTAATTTTAGTTAAATATTCATACTTTAGAATTTGCTTGAATTGATTAATTGTTTGGGTTTAATTTAGTTGATAGTTAATCACAAGTCCCTGTGGGTACGATATCTGGACTTACAATCCTATATTACTTGTCGACCACGTATACTTGCGTGTGCGTTCGGGAGCAACATGCACCTTCAATTGCGCTCGACAAATTGTGTTTTATTACAGAGGTTCTTCTCAAAGAGATTTTTCAATAATAATTAAAAATATAAAGAACATAAGTAGAAGTGCATGAACAATCTTGCCTTGTTTTTCCTTTTTTGAATGGAACAATGCCGGGTTTAGAAGTTTACAAGCTTAGAATTTCAATTGTACACATGATACAATATGCCAATTTGATCCTTATTAAAAGTGGAACATTATTATTAGCGTAAAAGAAAGAAGCTAGAAATGTGTTTTTATTATTTCTCCACTCATGTTAGCCTACATGTAATATATAAACTGTAGAGTACACAAGAGTTAGAGTTTTAGGTACACTCTAATTGGTTTCACTAGGAATATTACATGAAGTAGGACTTGCTCTAATACTACCCTTGTAAGCTGAAGGTAGAGAAACAACATTCAGCTTGGAGCAAAGTAGCTCAAATCTGGCAGAAGCGAGAGGCTTGGTTAATACATCAGCTAGTTGGTCTTATGTTGGCAAGAGTACAGGTCTGAGAGATCCTTTCAAGCCACTTTGTCGCGGACAAAGTGATAATCAATCTAGACATGCTTAGTGCGAGCATGGAAAACTGGATTGATAGATGGATAAGCGGCACCAAGATTATCACACCATAGGACTGGAGGAGTCGGAAGTGGAATGCCCAGTTCAAATAATAAGGATTGTAACCAAGAGATCTCAGCAGTAGCATCAGCAAGAGCCTTGTACTCTGATTCAGTGGAAGATCGAGCAACTATCCGTTGTTTCTTAGACGACCAGGAGACTAGAGTATTTCCCAGAAAAATGGCATAGCCACCAGTCGACTTCCTATCATCCAAGGAACTTGCCCAATCGGAATCGGTGAATGCTTGTAGTGACAAACCTGGAGAGGCTGGAATGGCAAAACGATGGTGAAGAGTATGCTTGATATATCCAGTATACGTTTAACTGCATCCCATTGATTTAAGCTTGGAGAGTGCATGAATTGGCAAACTTTATTCACCACAAATGTAAGATCTGGCCTAGTGAGAGTTACGTATTGTAAGGCTCCAACTACAGTGCGATATAACTTAGTATCATGAAACAAAGAGCTATCCCCAACGTGTAGCTTCGTTAGGTTCCATGGGTGTACGAACATGCTTGTACTTGAGCATACCAGTCCTAGTTATCAGATTGCTAATGTATTGCTGTTGAGAGAGCAAGAGACCACGGGCGGTATACTTGACCTCTACTCCCAGAAAAAAACTTAAAGAACCCAAGTCATGAATGGAGAATTCACCACCAAGCTTTGAGATAATATCACTAAGGAAGGAGGGATGGCTGCCAGTCAGAATTATGTCGTCAACATAGACGAGCAAGTAAGCAACTATTCCATCAGCTTGATACACAAATAAAGATGTATTAGTTTCCGAGGGAAAGAACCAATGGCCCCGAGAAATTGATGAAGCTTCATATACCATGCACGAGGGGCCTGTTTAAGGCCATAAATAGACTTTCTGAGTTAACAGACATGGTTAGGATATAAGGGATGAGTAAAGCCTGCTGGTTGAGACATAAACACAAATTCATGAAGCTGGCCATGTAAAAAGGCATTTTGCACATCTAGTTACTTCAAATGTCAATGCTTGGATACAGCTATTGCAAGAACCACTCTGATGGTGGAAGGTTTCACTACGGGACGGAATGTCTCAAAGTAATCATGTCCTTCAAGTTGGTGAAAACCTTTGGCAACAAGATGAACTTTGTAACGCTCAACTTGACTTGAAGAGTTTCATTTAATCTGGAATACCTATTTGCTACCTAAAAAATTCATGGAAGAGTTACAAGGAACCAAAGTCCAAGTGCAATTGCGGAGAAGAGCATTCATCTCTAAGGCCATGGCATCACGCCATACTTTGTGTTTGTTGGCCTCAGAAAAACTAGTTGGTTCAATGGAAAGAGGAGATGATTATGAAATGGGTGCAGTGGATAAATTGAAAGATGGTGGCATATGATGTAGTTGCATATGATGAGTGCGTTGGGGTGGAGCTGTGAGACGGAAAACACGCTTTGGGCAATGTGAAATGGCCTGAGGGAAAGGTGAAGTTTGGGGTGGCAATGAGTGGCCCGTAAAGTCCACAACCAGGGGAATAGATGATGGATAAGGCGAACCAGTAGATTGGCTTGATGAAGAGACAGAAATAGGAGATGGATTTAAGGACAAGGAAGGTGAGAAATGCGAGTCAATTATGGGAGTGGATTCGGTTTTCGATAAAGAGGTAGAATTGGAGTGAGTTGGAAAATTCAGGGGTGAAGAAGGAACTGGAGGTAAGGAGGAAACTCGACAAGAAGCCAAGGACTATTGGGACGCAATGTTGAAGGGTGAGGACCTAAAATGGATGTTGCATTGAATGGGAAGGTGACTTCATCAAATTGAACATCCCTAGCAATGTACATGCGTCCAGTTGCTCTATCATGACATCTATACCCAAGGTGTTTGGAGCTATATCCGAGGAAAACACAAGGCATGCTACGAAAAGAAAATTTATGTTTGTTATAAGGTCTGATGTGCGGGAAGCAGAGAGACCCAAATACCTTTAAGATGGAGTAATCTGGTGACTTGTGAAAGGCAAGTTCAAAGGGTGATCTACCATTATTTGTTGGTGATGGCAAGTGATTTATGAGATATACTGCAGTTTCAAGGGCGAAGTGCCGGTAGCAAGCAGGAGTAGAAATATGAGCGAGGAGACTGAGTCCGGTTTCAACAATGTGACGATGCTTTCGTTCGACTTTGCCTTGTTGTTCATGAGTGTGAGGGCAAGACACTGTATGAGAGATGCCAAATTTAGCAAGAATAGAAGATAATATACAGTATTCACCTCCCCAGTCTGATTGAATTGATTTTATCACTGTATTAAATTATTTTTCAACAAGAGCTTTAAATTGTTAAAATATGGGGACTGCATCGGATTTTTGATTTAGTGAAAATCCCCATATGTAATTTGAAAAATTATCAACAAATACAAGAAAGTACTTATGGCCTTCTGAGGATAATCAAGGTGTAGGTCCCCAAGCATCGACAAAAAGTAATTGCAAAATAGAAGTACTTTTATTTATTGGAACTGGAAGATGTCGTTTATGCGATCTGCCAAGCTGACAAGCGCTACATAGATGAATAATACTAAAAGTAGAACAAGGCAAACTACGCTTCCTAAGAACTTGATGCAGTACACGTTGATGAGGGTGTCCTAGCCGGAGATTCAACAAGCAGGAGAGGTTTTGGCCGAGAGGAGTGATGAAGGTGACTCTGAACTATTTCTGTGAGAAGAAGACTTGAGAAGGAGTGAATAAAGACCACCACTAGTCGGACCTAAATGAAGAGTTTTCTTGGATGCTCGATCCTTGACAAGGAAATAAGAAGGGTGAAATTCAAAAAAGACATTGTCACGAGCAAATTTTTGCACAGAAAAAAGTTGTTTCGTAATTGAGGGAACTGTTGCGGAAGTCAAATGTATATAGTGTGAATGAGTCAAAACTGCTATACCAAAAATTATGGCAGTCACCAAATAATAAATAAGACAATAAAGCAACAATAAAAGGAACATCAGAATTTACGAGGTTCGGCCAATTTTGCCTACTTTCCTCGGACACAACCAATATTTTATTCCACTCCAAAAATACAAGTGAAATAATACTAAAGAGAGAAGATACAAATGCCTTAAGAAGATAAGAAGGCAAATGAGAGGTGTGTTTAAATCCTAAACATTAGGCCTCCTTTTATAAGGGAAAAATCTCAACAATTTTTCTTCCCAATCAATGTGGGAGTTTGACAACTTCAACAAATCTCCACCTTGGCAAAATTCCACATCTTCAATTTTCTCTTAATAGCAAATTTTGGTTGTGTCTTCATCTTTAATCTTCTGTGTTCAACAATGTTGATCAAATCCAAACAATGTTGAAACTTGACCGCAGTCACCACTTTTGTCAGCATATCAGCAGGATTCTCTGTAGTGTGAATTTTCTTCACAGTGACTCCACCTTCTTCTATGATTTCTCGTACGAAATGATATCGAACATCAATGTTCTTCGTCCTTGCATGATAAACTTGGTTCTTCGCTAATTGAATATCACTTTGACTATCACAAAAAATTGTGATACCTTTTTGTTCAACACCAGCTCCTTTAGCAATCCTTGAAGCCAAATTGCTTCCTTCACAACCTCTGTAATGGCCATATACTCTGCCTCTGTTGTAGACAAAGAAACTGTTGACTGCAAAGTAGACTTCCAACTACCTGGTGCCTTTGCAAAAGTAAACACATAACCAGTAGTTGATCTTCATTTGTTCAGATCACCCGCAAAATCTGAGTCACAATATCCAACTACAGACTGATTGTCTTCCTACTTAAAAACTAACCCAACATCTACAGTATTATAAATATACCGTAGAATCCACTTCACAGCTTGCCAATGCTCCTTCCCGGGATTATGCATATATCTGCTAATAACTCCAACAACTTGTGAAATGTCAGGTCTCGTACAGACCATTGCATACATCAAGCTACCAACAA